ATAAAACAATGAAGAGAGTTCAGTACTATAAATAAAAAAGAAACAGCGAGCAGGAAGAAATATATAGATGATCACTAATTCCAAATCCTAAAAAGTAACAAAAAGGCATCAATCGTGTGGGCTACATTTTATTGAGAATCATGGAGTGACTAATACCACCTTGGTGGACGGTGGGCCATGTTTTAATTAGGACGAATATGAACAGCAGATTAKATATAACCAAACAAGTAAGTATTCTTGAGGGAGGGAGGAGATAGCTAGGGTTCCAAAGGAAGCATTATTTATTTGTAAGAAGCATATTAATGCCTTGTGGAAGGTGTACAAATTGTGCTTGTCATTGCAGTTTATCAAAAATCAAACTCTAGATTAGCTCTAAATGAGTTTTTTTCAATAGAATTTAAAATTTTGTTTGATTAAGCAAGAAAATATTTCCTAAGATTATGTGAGAGACATATTACATCGATTTCTCTCAATGGTAAGATACTTATTTATCGTTTGGCTTTGGCTTATGTGATGCCTAGCTGTCATAAAGTGAAAATAAACATTTTGTCCTCTTTTCAAGACAAAATTTATACTAAACGTTTGTTTATTCATAAAAGGAACCAAACGTTTTTATTATTATTATAAAAAGAAAGAAAAAGAGTCATTGGGATTGTCGGATCATTTTCATGTGGTTAATAAAAAAATGTTGAATTAGAACAACCCAACCGACCCATTGTCACTAGAATGGTTCCTTTCAAACGCAACTGATAACTTAATTGGCCACACAAACTAGCATAACAGCACGATTTGACCTGCACCCACTCTCTCCACTTTGCCTCTTCAGAGATGTATGTATATACGTGCTTCCTGGAAACTCTGAGAGCGAGCAATAGCAAAAGTAGTGTCTAAACCCTGTAATTAATGTGTTATACCTTATACGCTGTGGGTGTAGTTAATTTGGTAGGATTCTTACTGAATTATATATTGCAGCATGCAGTCCATTCAGAGCTTACTACTTGACCGACGACGTATGGAGTCGGTCACAGTGGAGAGGACAAGTATCACAAAATGATGGGGCGTATATTGTCAGCACTGAGAGTGATGAGAGAGTAACTAGAGTGATCAGAATGAAGCCCTGATACTGATACCCTGTACCCTGTACCCTGTTTATTCAGGGATTCATCAACCATGCACGTACCCCTTTCTTTGTCTTTGCTGCATTAATTAAATTAAAACTTGGCATGGGCAAGCATTGAATTAATTGCTTCTTAATTTCATATAAGGCCAAATGGTTGATGAGAACCACTATTGATCTTTTAAGTCAACTGCTGTATAATAAGTCCTATCTTGTCTAAAGCTTATAGGCTCTGCTAGGATGAAATGGGCCGGGTCACCCCGCCACACCCTTCTTTCTGTACATGCATGGAGTAAATTAATTAAGGCCAAAGTTGACGATAAACCAACTTTTTTATGCGTTAATTGAAACAATTAATTGTGTTTATGGAAGAGCTAGATAGTGCCTTTTTGAGTTCGTATCAGCTGCTAGAGACTAGAACATGGTCCTAGCTGCTTCTTTGAAAGTCTTCACCACCTTCTTCCCTTTCTTTTATACAAATTCAACATGTGGGGGAGCTATATATCCTCTATCCATCACTAACCTACCCATTTCAGTGACTTGAATTGGATCTCGTTGTTTCACCATTTGATGTCCACAGTCCGCTCAACACCTAAAAAGCATTCAGCTGTGTCTTCTACCCACTTAACGAAAAGGTGATGAATAACAAATACATTTGCTGAAAAGAGAAAACAAAAAAGTTCATTTCAAATAATATAGGATTTATAAAATGGGTAATTATTTAAAAATAAAATTTGATTTAATGTGTTAAATTAAATAACGAATTTATATTTCAAATAAAACAATAACTTAAATTTATATTTTATAATATAAAAAAAAATTAGGTGTCATACAAAAATATATGAGAATAGAGGTCATTTTCTAGTTGTACAACTATAAGTCTTAATCGTGATGTGACTTGTGACCGGAAGAAAGGAAAAGACCAAACAAAAGAAAGAAAAACTTCAGTAAAAGTCAGTAAAGGGTGCTGGTCCAACGCCCGCATCGCCTAGCAGAAGGCAGAAAGGCCAATCTCTTCTCTTGAGAAATTCCGAATACCATTCCGATGGAGAGAGCATTTATGGACTGCAGATGCACCTACCCCACTATAGCTAAGCAARTAGAAATCGAGAATTTGAAGTGTTGAAATCAATGTCAAAGATCTTTGCCTTGGAAATATCTCACTATCCTTCAATTCCTGATATCTTTCCATATCCTCCTGCCTTTGTAAACTTACAACCCTACAAAGGGACATCACTCACTCCTCTCCTCTGTCGTTATCAGTTAAATGTCAAAAGCGAAACCGGTATATCTATCTTTTGTGAATGCTAACTGGGCCTAGGCATCAACTCTGACCTTGACAAGAGAGAAACGAACAAACTGGAGAGACATCTAATTAAATTTCCCATGTCTTCTTTGCCAAGAAAAAATTACAACAAGGAGTGGGAAGCAAAGTTTTCTCTATAAATTCAATGGACAGATGTGGTTGTAAAAATTACAATAATTAACTCGTTATTTAGCTATCGATTTAACACATTTAATATGTTGAGGTGTTGAATAGAGATAAGACTATAACAGGAGTGGCCGGTGCTTCATCACTTGAGTGTTGACGATTTTCTTTCTAAGTGTCACCGTGTCGTTATTGTCAGGCACGGGAGTAATATTGGACCCAGATCTGAGAGTCTTAAACGGGCCGACGACAAAAGTCAAAAACCTAGATTGATTAAACCTTCTTTAATACAATGCACGCCATTATTTAGATGGAATGAGAAAAGTCTTGTCTTGACAATGAGAAGCCTTTATGGTAAATAAATTACTTGTAGCTATGGTCTCTACACCCTTCCACACTTAGTGCTGGATTGGGGTGGTTGGACAATATATATATATATATATATATATTCCGATAACTTAAAGAAATAAAAAAGAAGATGAGGAGACTAAGAACATGGGGTTGGTCCATTCTAATTTCTAAACAAACACCGATCCTGGAGAGTGGATGGAGTCCCAAAATTACAGCAACTGATTTTACTCTTTGCTAGCCTTCCTTACTTAAAACACTTACATATATAATCACAAGTTATGCCATGAGGCCCACTTAAAAAAGGGGGTTTGCCGGTTTGGCCTTGTGTGGATTAGGCAACCGCAACGATGTGGATACTCGATCGTCCTATCCTTGCCTCTCTGGCTCTGAAGGAAGGAACATGTTAACAAAACAAAAGCAAAAGCTGCTCAACACAGAATTAGATGTGGCGGCAAGCCAAGTGCCAAAGTGCCAGTGTGGTGGGGAAGGACTAAGGAGGAGCCCCTGATGGTGATACTCTCACTCTCAACTCACTCATTTCAGATTTGGGATCCATCAACAGTAATGCAACAAAACAATCGTTGGAATTCGTAAATAGAGCCCACACAGACACAGATCAACATCTTTAACAGCAAGTTTCGACTTGAGAAGGAATTGGTTTCACAATGGTATATCCGTTGCATTTGCAATGGATTTTGGTGACACTTCAATTTCACTTTCAAGCAAGCCTGTTGAAGTTGAACATTTCAACATTTGAGAGCAAGGAGTGCTTGCTCTTTATTGAATTCTCTCTAGTCCCTACTTGAATGGCTCAACTGGGTTGCAATATCGATTTTTTTTTTCTTCTCTTTCAAATGTTATTCATAGTTAATAGGTACAAGAAACCGGCACCTCTAAAATCAAGCTGCCATAACTCATATGTAGTAGATTCACGATTTTTCCACATAAACAAACTTGACCATGATTACCCAACAACATTTCAGGAATGTCAGTTGATTTCTTTCTCATGGGATAATTCATTTAGGGGGGTATTCGGCAATATGGTTAGGTTTGGTTTGGCTTTTCAAAACAAAAACCATTAATTTTGCTGATGTGGCAGTTGATTTCTTTCTCAAGGATGCCGATGCAATGATGCAAAAACATTCCCCAACTTTACATTGTGTTGTTGGTATTTTAAAAAGGGATTGCCCCCGACAACGTATCATATAGCAATCCATCCTGGATGGGGACTGCTCAGCTGCTTGTGTTGCCAGGGATCACCTGGATCATATTTTGGAGAAGTATTTCGACAGCTGGCTACCCGCTACGTGCTACTAGCTGGCGTACTTTACAAGCGATCATTCGAAAGGAGACTTTTGCGATGTCTAGATAAAGAAGAAGCTCAGCACGCCATTCGTGAGCTCTACTCGGGGGTTTGCGGAGGCCATGTCAACAGCCAGATGCTCGCTAAAAAGATCATTCGAAAAGGATATGACGGATCAAGAKTGTAATAAATTCGTCAGGGGATGCATGAAGTGTCAAACTCATGACAAGCTAGTCTTTAACTTTCCTAATAGTATATCATCATCATCCAAGGAAATTCGAAGCTAATTATTGATAGTCTGAAAAGGATTTTCAGCCCCCCGTGAAAGGTGCGTCCAATTATTGAAGAGTGCATCACTTTAAGGGATAGAATAGAGGGATCGAATGAGTATCATCACATCTACAGAGAAGGAAATATTACCACAGACTGGCTAGCTAACTTTGCACACACCAACGAAGCATCTTTCAGTTCCATTCCTAGGCCTCTCAAGTGTAATCGCTTGTTTTGATTTCTGGGGACGCGCTACACCCCGGCTTTACATATAAAGACATGTTCAATTGAACCCCCTCACAAGCAGTTGTTAGAGGATAGGATAGCATCGACACCCAGGGTGGGAAAAACAACAAAGTCAAGCACAAAAAAACGTTCAGATTTCAGACTGCACTGGTTATGTGACCTGTGACCATAATAGTAATACATTCCAAATATAAAACCAAGTAAGTGGTCCACCCTGCAACCATAACACATCGAGCTGCAGATCGCAGGGCATCGATGATGAAATCTTTTGCGACCCTCAAACAAACCCAACCATAATGACGTCAACTTCAACTCTTCAAGTGAACATCCTAGATAACAAAGACATTTGGAAAACTTTTGGTTCTCACTTCTTTTCCCATGAGGGATTGAAACTTGAAGAGTATAATATATTAAACTGTTACGACATTCCGCTAAGGTCCAAAACGAGAAAAATCAACACTTGCAAGTTCACAAGCTAAATCATTCATAGCAGCAATAGACAGATTCTAGTGTACATGGAGGGACTGAGGCCAAGTTAATACCAAGGTCAAATGAAATTTTCATCTCGCATTCTTTCGAGATTAAGGCCTTCTTTTATACACTTCTCTTGCAATAGATTGAAACCAACCCCATGCTCCCTGGATAAACCTTGTCTGACCTTCATGACACACTTGAAATGAGTCATCCCCATCACATCCACCAAATTCTCATACTTTGGCACCAAGGAAAGACTGCACAGGAACATTAAAATTAACAAGAGGAAAAGAGCTTGCGTTTTAAATAATACATAATATCTTTTTTTTAAGGAAAAAAATAAGATAAGGTAATCTAAAACACAATATCTTCAAGAAAATACAGAGCAAACCTTGCATGAGCAAAGTATAAACACAAATAATATCTTCAAAAGATTTGGTTTGTTAGCATATGGAAAACAAACGAGGTTCAATTAACATATAATATGTCAGGCAATAGAGATCATGGATTTCATTACAGAAGTGGTCAAACCATTCGCCAAAAATAAAATAATACTCCAAAACCCTTAAGCCTGTAAATTTAGGCTTTCTTTGAATAAGCTTCTGCCATTGAGCTTTGGAATGTGCTAAAATATGAGAATATCATGGTGATCATCTCTGGCCTCATAGGTTATGATAACTAACTCCACGAGAGCTGAAATAATGGTGGTTTTGCAAGGGTTAAGACCGGCCAAAACCCTTGTGCAAAGAGAAGGGGACTCAAGAGTGGTTATGGGTTTTTTATCTTTTTTTTCGGGAAAAGGTAAAGTATTACATTAATAAACAAAAAGATCCATGTACAACAAGGGGTTGTAGACAGGGAATGTATAGTTACTTCCCAGTATTGCTATACCCCCAACCCATGATTCTTTACAAAAAAGATTATCATATACCAAAAAAGGAATTAAAGCCTCTATACCTTTCCTTTAACAATTTGTGAATGACTAAGCAAGAAAACACCTTTCCTGTAATTTTCTTGAATACGGAATTATTAGAGTTGCTCCTGTTTTTGAACTTACAGAAACCTGACAAGAAAGTGTTACATCTGAAAAGAGAGCTTCAAGCCACATTCTCATGGACTCTAGATCAGCCAACAACCTAGCTGATGCATTATCTAGGCAAGCAGTGACTAGAAGAAATCTGTATTGGGGGCTATTCCCCATGAATCATGAATATAGATATCGAGTGAGAAGATAAGCAGCTAGGTCTGGTCTATATAAAGGGGTGTGAAGCACATGTCTTCTATTATAAATCATTCTTTTTTTTTACAATATCGATAAAATTACAAGTTGCATTTGATTTTTTTTTTTTTATGCTTCAGGATTTGTGATTTTAAAGCCCCAAAACAAAAAGGCCCAATTTTAGACAATAATGTTTTTACAAGCAAGTGAGCAACTTTTACCAAATGCTCAACACACTTTTTGGTTAAATGTTGCTATCCACAGCTCAAAGCTCAATAGAAGAAGCTTATCCAAAAAAATCCCAAATTTACAGGCATTCACAAAAAAGGAGAACTATAACATTCTACATGAAGACCTAGTTATTAACGAAATGAAGCTTCTCTTCTCTCATTAAACTATTTTTAGTTCCTCAGAAAATGAGTGAGAGAGGATACTGTGGGAAATTCCTATATCCTGTAATTATCTCAAGAACTTTCAAGTCCAATAGGAAATTCCTATATCCTGTAATTATCTCAAGAACTTTCAAGTCCAATAGGAAATTCCTATATCCTGTAATTAAACTATTCTCTGGCTTGCTTACTTTCTGAAGGAAACAAATACAGCCCAATAGGAAAGTTCCATTCCATAAACAAGAAAAATGTGACAGTTAATTATCCATAAAGAATTCAGAAATACATTCCCACCACAGATCAGCATATTTAGATCTTGAATATCATTGGAATTGACTCCAAACGCTACATGAATCATGTTCTGCCATTCCATTCTGTTTAAAGCCATATCTATGTTAAACTAAGAGCCCTTAAATCATTTTTCACTACTTCAACACATCCTTCTTGGTCTTCCCCCAACTCTTCTAGCCCCCTTCAACTTGTAATAGATCACTTCCTACAGGTACTGTAGATGGTCTTCTCTGCACATGACCAAACCATTTTAGTCCACTTTCTTTCATTCTATACCCAATTGTAGCTAGTCAAAGGTTCTTCGAATAAGTTCATTACAGATCCTGTCCTTTCTACTTTTCCCACTCACCCAACTCAACACTGGTACACATTTTTTGGACATACTGTTTCTTTACTGCCCAGCACTTTTCTCCACAGAACATTGTTGACCTTCCAATTGTTCTATAGAATTTTTCTTTTAGCCTAAGTGGTATTCTCCTATCACTTAAGATTTGGATGCACCCTTCCATTTTGCCAAACTTGCTATAGTTCTACGAGTAACACCTTTCTCAATCTCTCCCAGCTGTGGATTCTCAAACTAAGGCAATGGAAGAGGCTACATTGAGTTATCTCTTGTCTCCAATGCTAAGAGTACTCTGATTTCTGCTTCCATTATTATTAGATTTACATTGATTATATTCTCTTTTAGTTCTGCTTATTTTGAAACATCTTGTTTCTAAGGCATTTGTCTATAAATAATTCTGCATTTAATCCTTCTTTAGTTTCATCAATTAATACTATATCAGCAGCAAACAAGCAAGATGGACCCCCTCCTCAATATATACATGACTAGTGCAAATAAATAGACTTGTTGAGCCTTAGCGCAGTCCCATAGGTGTTCTAACATTGGTTGCTGCACCTTTAAACTCACCATATTATCTCTCTAGGAACTCTATCATATGCTTTTCTATATTAATGAATACCATATGAAGATCTTATCTACTTTTTTCTCTAAGCATTATTATCATTCATCTCAATGCAAAAGATAGCTTCCATGGACCATGGTTTTTTGATATACATCATCTTCTTCTAAATAGGGGCTCAGCCCCTATTTTTCCAATATTTTCAACCCACCATTGACCCAGATGTCCAAATCATTAGAGCCATCACCCAGTTGCATTTTCGGTTCCAGTTTTTCTAAATTTTTATTTATAAAAAATTTAAAAAATGAAATAAGAAAATATAAATTGACAAAATAATACATATATTACAAGTAGAATATAATTATATTATTTATTCTATATAATATATTTATACATACATATACATATATTTATGTTTATATGTATATTGATGATGTTCCAGTCTGACCCGTCAGACCCAGATGATTGAACTGTTGACCTGCGACCCGGAGGCAAAAATGGTTCATCCTCTGGGTCAGTATTTAAAACACTGTTATTTTCTCAAATTTATTTTCTTTCTTCCATTTTTATTGAATATGTTGATTTTTTTATGTTTTAAAGTTTATACATTTTTTCTATGAAGATGGTTGCTACTTGCTATGGAACCTAGGGAACTAACTTAGGATTCATGGATTTTATTCAAAAACAAAAACAAAAAAACTACACCCAGGCAACAAGGCACCCCGCTGTCACTAGCCTGACATTGGCGCCTTGAAAACTATGATGTTTAATTGGTATTACACAAATTAATGCCCAACTAGATCCATGAAGTTCGAAGAAACAAGTCAAAAGGGAAAAGAAAAGGAAAAAATAAATAAAAACTTGTTCTTCCATTATTCTAATCATGTCCACCAAAAAACCCCAATACTTCATTAGATTAACAAAAGTTAAATATACCTTCACTCCAGCTGGAGGAGTTCCAGGCTTAGTTGTAGGTGTGCTCCCAAAGCCGAACCTTGCTTTCTTTTCTGCAGGTTTTAATATTTGGAAGGAGCACATTAGAGTCTCATCCACACTCATCATGGCACCGGAATTGTCAAACTCTCCACAGTAATTGGGTGCCGAGAATATTGTTACAAGTTGCCGGTTAGCAAAGAACTCGTAGCCATCCTCCACAACCTGCCAGTATCAAGGTACTAGTTAGTTGAAAAATATTGGTATTGTTTGCTTCCAAAAAAAAAAAATTAATAATAATGCATAATTGAAAAGGTGATCTACACCTGGTGAGCACGACAAACAAGATCTAGATCATGTTTTTCAAGTAACTCTGAAACCTTATCAGCACCAAAGGTGTATGAAACTCCTCTGTCATTCATCCCCCAACCTTGAATATCTTTACTGGGATCTGACCAGAGAAGATCACAGAGCAACCCAGTGTCTGGGACATCTGTTGGTCGTTGTAAGTTTCGTATCTGGTCTAAATTATGAAGATCTGGAGAAAGTCCTCCATGCATGCAGATAATCTTTTCATCAATCAGGGCAGCCACAGGTAGGCAGTTAAAACAGTCTGTGAACACTTTCCATAGCCTAACATTGAATCTTCGCTTACATTCATCATAAAATCCATATATACGGTTTATGGAAGCACATTCATGATTACCCCTCAAGAGAAAAAAGTTCTCTGGATATTTTATTTTATATGCAAGGAGAAGGCATATTGTCTCCAAGCTTTGCTTGCCCCGGTCTACATAATCCCCCAAGAATAAGTAATTGGCTTGAGGAGGTAATCCACCATATTCAAAAAGCCTTAGAAGATCAGAATACTGGCCATGAATGTCACCTGGGTACAAGATACATAGTACATGTCAGGGAGAAATACACAGAATTTCCTTTTCATACAATCAAGTTCTACTGCAGAACCAGAACTGTAAAAAGGGAACATCTATAATATTCCCATAGGTAACAAAAATTAATTGCTTATGAAAAAATTTATGCATTGTTATTCAGGTCAGTTGGGTCTAAGGACAGCCGAGCAAGCCTGACATTTGATATGCTTATTAGTTATTGCTTAACCCAGGCTCGACTCAGTTGGGTTGGCTTGGGTTGCTCAGTATGGTAAATTAAGTTTCAGACCTTTAGGGAGAAGAATGAGAAATGTTGACATTGAACAGTCACAGATCCTACTATGTTCCCCTCAACTTTGGGTTTCATGTAAACTCAGTCCATATAGAAGTGGAATCAATTCATAGAAGTTTGTGGAAGATCACAGAAACATAGTATAACTATATACACTAGGAAAACACTATGAAACTGTTAAAAATCTACAATGAACCTTGAGAAAAAGAAAAAAAGTAAACATCAATCTTACTTAAGGATCATTATAAAAACATGACCATGTAAAACAGGAAAACAAAATATCGAAAGTAATGTATGTCTGATACTCTTAACATCAAACCATAAATAAACAATCAATAATCATGAAATGCAACCCCCATCATCTATCACAAAATTCTCGTTTCTTATTTTTCAAATATTTCTGTTTTAGTCTGCTGGTTTTCTTAATTTTTAAGGAGAAATTATCCTTTTTAATTGTTTTTAAAGCATTTTATGGCAAACTTTAACCTTTTAAAGCACTTCCATGGCAAGTGGAAGAATTTTGGTGGAATTTTAAAAGCATACTCCCCCCTAATCATTGTTAAAGTTAGCTTGAAGTTCAGCACAGTTTAAAATTTGAACTGCTGTGATAGAAGAACTGGGTTGACTTGTTTGATCTGGATTGATTTTTGGGGAAAAAGACCATTTGAATTAACTACTACACTATAAACTGTAAAGTACCAGGAAAAAATCAGAATGAAATTTGAAAGTTTTGAATTCTAGAAGAGACATGAAATGGGAAGGGGTTGAAAAGAGGGAACGGAGGGAGAAAGAAGCAATCAAATTTGCACTATCATAATCTCCATCTACAATAACTTGGACAGAGATGCTGCCTTCCTGCTCCGTTATATGGCAAAACAAAGGATCCATCCTATTCATCAAAAAAAACAAAGGATCCATCCTTTCAACCGTACATTGGAGCCAATGGCACAAGTAGGGAGAAAATGAGCATTGTCAGCAAGCCCTTCACTGTTTTTGCCATCATGGAGTTTATGGCAGTCATCAAGTGACGCAGATTGGCAGATCATGAGGAAGAAGATGAAGAGCCAGATTTGCAACTAAAGGTCCCCAAAAAATTAAGCTTTTTGTCCATGATGGCCCATGAGGCTCCTACAAATCCAACTGACCTAGATGATCTGGGAAGCTCCTAACTAAGACATCGATGATGTTAGGATATTGAGAGGATCAGTAGTTTGAAAATTTTCTAATTTCCAAGAGTTTTGGATCTAGAGGAGCATTTATGTATACTTCTGCAACTTTAAAATCAATAGAGATTTTTGCTTTTTGGTATTACAAGTAGTTTGCAATGTGCTTTAGGGTATCAAAAATGGGATAACGAGGAAAGAAAAAGAATGCACCACAGAGCCCCAACAATTAGATGCCATATCTAGCACTGATTAGCAGCCAACAGGGGGACTATCAGGGGTGTCTGGTCTTAGAGGGAGACCCATCAAGTCAAAACTAGGTGACAGGGAGAGCAGAAGATTAAAAGAGGTAAAAAGTCTAAGAGAAGGAAAGACCCCAAAATTGCAAATTGAAGATATCTAGCCACTTTAGACACTACAACCACAGCAGCCAATAGGGGTAATAAAATAATACACATGAGCATCAGGGCTGTCAACGGGTCAGGTCTGGGTCAGGACAGGGTGGTCCCAGTCCCAAACCGATTATTAATCAGGACAAAATCACGGACCCAGAATCATCCCAATTAATAATTGGGTCTGACTCAGTTGTCCCAATTATTAATCGGGACAAAATCATGGAACCGGAACCAGAACCAACATAATCAGTTGGGCAGAATCCAACCATTGACAGCCCTTATGAGCATAGAGTTAATGGCAAAGAGAGAAAAGAATGGCTAATACAGGGAGTGCATGAGGATCAAGGCACTACCAGCACTGCAACCAATTGTAAGTGCATGAGGATCAAAATGTTAAACGCCCCAAGCATTAGAATATGGGAGGACAGGCCCAAACGAGTATAAACCTAACATCACATCAAGCTAGGTGTTGTCCAAATTGCTGAAATTTGGGGAGTTCTTGGCAGTATCAAATGCAAGTTGGAAATGGAAACCCAGAAATTGTTGATGACTATTGAACAAAGGTATTGGAGGGAAAAGGTTGAGCAAATGACAAGACAATGAAAACAATAACAGGACTCAGTAAAATGGGGACTAAATGATGGAGTCAGATGCTTGGAGAAGTTGACAAGGAAAAAGAGGAATTGAACATCTTTCGCAGATATGTTTCAGATGATACAATTTAAAACCATGTTGTGGAGTGTTTGAGGATTGTGTTCAGGATGCAGAAGTGTGGTAACAAGTTCCTACATATGGAAGCAAAGTCCTATAATGATACAGGAGAAAATATTGCAAAATAAGCCTCTTTGGTAAGAAGTGTTTGGGACAATGGCCAATGTGATTGATGAGGACAGGTAGCAAATGGAACATAATAATGTGGCATTTTGTTGGTATAGGCCTAGGCCCAACATGAGCCCAAAACCAACCCAACTTGAAATTTTACAAGGGCTAGGCTTGATTTTCAGTCCTTGGTATAGGCCTAGGCCCAAAATTATTTAGTAGGCTAGGCATAGGCCTAGCCCTTACATAGCATGAGCCTAATGAGGTTAGCCCAGCCCTAACCCAGCCTGAACTTGGCCCAACTACACATGCATACAGGCATGTATACAAATTGTACAATTTTTCTATTTAATGGTTTAAATCATTGGTGCTAAATAAGTTACTGATGTTTTTTAACAATGGGCCTAATAGACCTACCTAAGCCATGCCCAACCCAAGTTTGCCAAATTTTAGTTCAAGCTAGGCTTAGGTTGGCTCAGTCTAAAAGCTCAAACCTTAGGCCCAAATCTAAGGGTTGGACCTAGGTTGACCTTAAACCCAACCCTACTAACAAGCAATTTTTAGAGAACCAGATCGAGCATAGAACTGAAAAAGGGAGAGGTTAACTAGTCAAAGATTCAGTAGCAATCAAAGCGGAGGTTGAATCATGATGAGGTGGCATACACATATTTTACAGGTCATATAAATACTACATATAATATATTTCACAAATATTATTACATTTGCATGTGGTGGTCTGGTAGATAAATGGCTCATTATTACACTTCACAAATATTATTACACACATTTCCTTTAAAATATCTATTAAAGCAATAAATGCAATAAAGAAGCACAAATAAATGCAAACAAAATAGATGGATTTAAGGTAACAAGACAATACACACAAGTAAGAGGTCTTGGATTCAAGTCTTTTCATCACCGTTTTGAAGTTCCTATTCATGTTATGACCCAGGCGGTTTCATAAAACTAGGATTGATTCAACTGATTTCCAGTTAAACCGGCCAGTCAGCCAGTTTTGGCCTGAACCATGGTTTTCAAGGTATGACCAAACTGGTCAGGGGGCAAGTCACAGTTCAACCGGTCCAACCAGCTGGTCCAGTCTGATTTTCTAAACAGTGCATGCAAGCACTAATCATAATTGAAGTTCGATAGGAAGGTGGTCTTAAAAGCATAATTATTAAAATGTAACCTCCAAATGAGGAGATAGAAACCAATTTATGGGCAAAAGTTAGATAAAATAAGGGATAGGTCGTGAATCTCCCGATTACCATGGTTTGTGAGTGGTGCTTTTAACACGATGTCTTTCATATCAAAAGAAAGGGGGCCCCAAATTACTTCATGTAATAAGAGGTGTCACTAGCTTCATGAATTGCCATGGAATGCTATTTATTCTGTTATCTAGAGCAAAGCATGCATAGACAAACAATCAAGAAATTCCATTCACCTATTGTTAGTAAAGTTGGATAGATATGTTGTGTCCATAGAATGGGTGGAGTAGTTTCTAGAAATACATCAAGTAGTTTTAGAACAAACTCCATCCATTCATGAACCAATTGTTAGGGGAGGATGGGCAAGAAAACCAAACACATTTGGATTTGAGCATACATCGCTAGAAGAGAAGAGTTTCGTGGGTATGATGAAGTAGTGGTGGAAGTCATTTGATATGGAAGGGACAAATCCTCACATCTTCACCCCCAAAAAATTGTTGTTAATAGAAAAGATCAAAAAATTGGGAGAATGTCAATTTTTAAACCGTAAGAAAGAGGAGTTATTGGGAATGATAGTCGTAATGGATAGAAAAGAAGAGTTGGGCATCATATTGGAAGAAAGCAAATATACACAGAAGGTGAAGTATCATTTCACAAAGTATCCTACCAAGAGGAGATAAAATGGAGACAAATGGCAAGAACATGGTTGAAAGAAGGTGACAGGCAATACAAATTTTTCTATCTAATGGAAAACACAAGGAGAACAGATCATACATTTAAACAACTGGTGGTGAATGATCAAATGATAGAAGCGGAAGAAGCCTTGAAGAGAGAAATCTTGAAGTTGTACATGAAACTGTTCAAGGTGGAATGGCAAATCAAACCAACACTGAATGGCTTACAGTTTGATACACTAACATAGTTGTCAAGGCAACACCTAGGCAACAAGGTACTCTTTGGAGGCTCGCCTTGCCTAATCGCCAAGCAATTTTGTACATTGTGTCATAAAATACTTTTATATTTTTAATTTTTTGAGATTATAATTATAGATAGACATTTTTAGAATAAAATATTCATTTTGTGTTTATATACTAATTTCTTTATATTATTTTCTTATCT